ATTTAAAATTCAAATGTATAAAACACTCCAGCTTGGCTCTGTAGGCCAGTAGTTCAGGCAGAGCGATTGAGACTGTTCTGGTATCCCAAGGAAATAATTTTTAAAAAATAAAAAAAAATAAAATTCAAATGTAAAAGAAACTGACCGGATTTCAACTTGACCCTCTCTTCACGAGACAAGACACATAGCATGTGGTCAGTATTATTTGCCAAAGGAATTAATTTTACCAAGGCCATATAAAAGAAAGCTTTATTTGCCTTTGCTTTGTTGGTGTTAAAAAAAAAGAAGAAAAGGTCTTAAGAAAACTAACATGTCTATAAACAATGCATCAGGCCAGGCACAGTGGCTCACGCTTCTAATCCCAGCACTCTGAGAGGCCTAGGTGGGTAGATCACTTGAGGTCAGGAGATCTCAGCCTGGCCAACATGGTAAAACTCTGTCTCTACTAAAAAATACAAAAAAAAAAAAAAAAATTAGCCGGGTGTGGTGGCACACCTATAATCCCAGCTACTTGGGAGGCTGAGGCCCGAAAATCGCTTGAACCCATGAGGCGAAGGTTGCACTGAGTCAAGATCATGCCACTGCACTCCAGGCCTGGTGACAGAGTGAGACACCATCTCAAAAACAAAAACAAAAACAAAACAAAACAAAACCAATGCATTAGAAGCTCCAATGACATTCCAATCCCTGTTACATCATTAATTATTTTCTTATCCTTAAAGAAATTATTAACTAGTATTTGCTTAAATCCTCGGTATAGTGGGACAAGTTTGTCACAATGAAGAAGGCAAATTAAATTACAAAAATGTATACAAATATGGTACATAAAATATTTGTTTTTAAAAGATGTATACTAAACTTAGGACTAAATTAACACCAAAAACAGTACCAAAATCCAAAAGTGTAAATTTACATTAGAAACTACAAATTTATATGCCAATTCAAACCATTTTTATAACAAGGTAAAATATAAAGCAACAATGTATTTATGAAAACCTAGTCAGCTATTCATAGTCTGTGATGCACTAAAGGACACAGATAAAGAGCACAGAATATAGGAAGAACAGTTCCTAATGCATATTTCTAAAAGCTGAAACATAAGCAAATGTTTGAAAACATCTGTGATGTAGTATTAAAAGGCAGTAAGACTTAAAACTGACTGTTTAATACTATTCATCAATCACTTCTTTATGCATTCATTGTAATTTTATTCTGGAAAGAGATGACAAAAAAATAGACTCTTAAAGCTCTATTAGAATCTCAACAAAGTAGATTATGGATCCCTTGTGAGTCACTATGTCAAATTCGGGCCGGGTGTGGTAGCTCATGCCTGTAATCCCAGCACTTTAGGAGGCCAAAGCGGGTGGATCACCTGAGGCCAGGAGTTCGAGACCAGCCTGGGCAACATAGTGAGACCCTGTCTCTACTACTACTACTACTAATAATCATCATCATCATAAATTAGCTGGGCATGGTGGCGGCGCCTGTAATCCCAGGTACTCAGGAGACTGAGGCATAAGGATCACTTGAACCCAGGAGGTGGAGACTGCAATGAACCGAGATCGTGCCACTGCCTTCCAGCCTGGGAAACAGAGCGAGAGAAACTGAGTGAAACTGTGCCTCAAAAAAAAAAAAAGATAAAATCAAACAACTGTGTGTGTTTTTTTTTTTTTTAAATAACAAATACATTGTAAAGGAAAATACAAAGGAATAATAATAAGGTACTAAAATGATTCATTATATTTGAGGAAAGATTTACATTTGTTTCACTTTTTTAAGTTTCCCAAGTCTGGTCATGACTGTCAAAAATGTTAGATGAAAGACTGCCAATATATTGCGATTAAATGCAGTATGTTAAGAGGTTCTTGGCTGGGTATGGTGGTTCACACCTCTAATTCCAGCACTTTCGGAGGTCCAGGTGGTAGGAGACTCCTCGACCTCAGGAGTTTGAAACCAGCCTGGGCATCATAGTGATATCCGATGTCTACAGAAAAAAAAAGATTAGCCAGTCATAGTGGTGTGGCAGTGCCTGTGGTCCCAGTCACTCAGGAGGCTGAGGAGGATCACGTGAACCCGGGAAGTCAAGGCTGAAGTGAGCTATGACTTCACCATTGCACTCCAGCCTGGGAAACAGAGTGAGAAACTGCCTCCAAAAAAAAAAAAAAAAAAAGTTTTAAATGACATAAAAAAATTTTGAAGGTAAAAAGAATTTGAGGATAGTGGAATGAAAGAAACAAAAATTTGGAATCAGAATTCATAGATTCACAATCCAGGTCTACAATGTGTCAGTTACATGATAACTGAGTTTAGGTTTCTTCTATGCCACTTCCTACATCTCAAAGTGGCTGAGGTTTAAACATATTAGTGTCTGTAAAGCATCATGTAAATGGGCCGGGTGCAGTGGCTCATGCCTGTAATCCCAGCACTTTGGGAGGCCAAGACAGGCAGATCTCTTGAGACCACGAGCTCGAGACCACCCTGGCCAATATGGTGAAACCCTGTCTCTCCTACTAATACAAAAATTAGCCAGCCATGGTGGTACACGCCTGTAATTCCAGCTACTTGGGAGGCTGAGGCACTTGAACCTGGGAGGCAGAGGTTACAGTGGGCTGAGATCATGCCACTGCACTTCAGCCTGAGTGACAGAGTGAGACTCTGTCTCAAAAATAAAGGAATCATGTAAATCGTTTCACTATTAACCTTTAAGCAAAAGCAAAGATATTAAAGATACCTTACCTTTCGAGGTCATTATTTCCATACATTACAAAACTGCAAGGAGATGACTTAGATTACCCAGGCTTTCAACTTTTAAGTTCTATCATAAACTTGCTGTGATACACTGAGAAATCACATTTTAATATCCAACAAGACTGACAGAGATCACAAAATTTCCCAGACTATAAGAAGCAGATTAATTTTACCTTCTGTAGCATGTTAAGAAACTACTGAATAAGAACAATTACTTAGGAATGAGTCACAGAGATTAAGAAAATGACATTGGGATTATGTTTCAAAATGGTCAAGAATAAAGAATGATTTCAAATAAATTATCACTCTGGACAAGTATGAATTGACTACTCTCTTACCATGAATCAAGAGTTCAGAATCCTTGTTTAGCTCATAAAGTCTAAAGGCTTCTTCTAACTCCAACTGAGATGACACTGTACATGGGTCTCCTAAAAAATACAAAAGCAAAGTAATGCTCATTTTAAAACCCCAAACGTGATGATCACTAAACAAATTTCATAATGTAAATTTTGTGAAAAAATAATCTCATATTTATAAACAGAAATATGTGACAAGGAAAAATATTTATTATTATTATTATTTTTTTTTTTGGAGAACAGAGTTTTGCTCTTGTCGTCTAGGCTGGAGTGCGGTGATGCGATTTTGGCTCACTGCAACCTCTGCCTCCTGGGTTCAAGCAATTCTCCTGCCTCAGCTTCCCAAGTAGCTGTAATTACAGGTGTGTGTCACCACACCCAGCTAATTTTTGAATTATTAGTAGAGACAGGGTTTCACCATGTTGTCCAGACTGGTCTCAAATTCCTGACCTCAGGTGATCCGCCTGCCTCAGCATCCCAAAGTGCTGGGATATTTAGATATTTATTTAGACAATTCAATTTTCTGAAGTAGGTAACACATAACTTTCATTTATATTTATATAAAAACACTACATGAGGTTCACAGACACCAAATTATATAGATGCTCACTACAGCCTCGACCTCCTGGGCTCAAGCAATCCTCCCGTCTGGGCCTCCCAAAGTTATGGAATTACAGGCATGAGCCACCACACCTGGTCATTTTGTTCTTAACATTGTATATATCCAAAATAAAGCACACAGAATCTATTCCTGACCACATTTCTTTTTTAACTATTATTTTTTTTTTAGGAGTTTTGCTCTTGTTGCCCAGGCTCTGCCTCCTGGGTTCAAGTGATTCTCCTGCCTCAGCCTCCTGAGTAGCCTGGACTACAGACATGCACCACCACACCTGGCAACAGACCAAATTTTAAATTGTCACTGCTATGTGACTAATGGATATGGACAAGAGCAGGCTTTCTGTTACCTGTTTCTTTAAAAGAGGAAGTGAAAGTAGTTCCATTGCCACAATATGATTAGTCAGAAGTCTCCATGTAATCATTTCATCAAATTTTTCCCTTCATACGACAAAGCCTCCTCAAAGGAGTCACAGAAAGGAAAAGCTACAAAAGTACTGAAGAACAGTCCCACTTGAGCTACTATGAAAAGTAAACGAACACTTTTAGTAACATACACACAGAGAAGGGAAGGAAGAAACACCTCCCTTACCCAACTAGCCAGACAACTGAGTTATCCCTGGCAATCAATGAGGTGGCACATCTGCCTGGACAACTGCATTCCTCCATGAAAAAGTCATTCAAGCCAGGTGTGGTGGCACATGCCTGTAATACCAACACACCTGTAATCTCAACACTTTGGGAGGCCAAAGTAGGCAGATCACTTGAGGTCGGGAGTTTAAGACAAGCTAGCCAACATAGTGAAACCCCATCTCTATTAAAAATACAAAAATTAGCTAGGTGCAGTGGTGTGTGCCTTAGTCCCAGCAACTTGGGAGGCTGAGGCAGGAGAATCACTTGAACCCAGGAGGCAGAGGTTGGAGCATACTGCAGAAATTCAAAGGATCATTAGAGGCTACTGTGAGCAACTAAATGCCAACAAATGGAAAGCCTAGGAAAAAACGGATAAACTCCTAGAGATATACAACCTGCCAAGATTGAACCATGAAGAAATCCAATGCCTGACTAGACTAACAAGTAGTGAGATCAAAGCCATAATAAAAAATCTCTCAGCAAAGAAAAGTCTGGAACCCAATGGCTTCAGTACCATTTAAAGAAAAGCTAATACCAATCCTACTCAAACTATTCCAAAATACGGAGACCAAGGAGGAAATACTTCCAAACTCATTCTAAGACATCGGTATTACCCTAATACTAAAACCAGATAGATAAGTCAAAAGAAGAAAACTAGCTCTCTTCCGCCGCCATTTTAAATCCAGCTCCATACAACGCTCCGCCGCCGCTGCTGCCGCGACCCGGTCTGCGCGCCAGCACCCCCCTGCCGACAGCTCCGCCACTATGGAGGACATGCACGAGTACAGCAACATAGAGGAATTCGCAGAGGGATCCAAGATAAATGCGAGCAAGAATCAGCAGGATGACGGTAAAATGTTTATTGGAAGCTTGAGCTGGGATACAAGCAAAAAAGATCTGACTGAATATTTGTCTCGATTTGGGGAAGTTGTAGACTGCACAATTAAAACAGATCCAGTCACTGGGAGATCAAGAGGATTTGGATTTGTGCTTTTCAAAGATGCTGCTAGTGTTGATAAGGTTTTGGAGCTGAAAGAACACAAACTGGATGGCAAATTGATAGATCCCAAAAGGGCCAAAGCTTTAAAAGGGAAAGAACCTCCCAAAAAGGTCTTTGTGGGTGGATTGAGCCCGGATACTTCTGAAGAACAAATTAAAGAATATTTTGGAGCCTTTGGAGAGATTGAAAACATTGAACTTCCCATGGATACAAAAACAAATGAAAGAAGAGGATTTTGTTTTATCACATATACTGATGAAGAGCCAGTAAAAAAATTGTTAGAAAGCAGATATCATCAAATTGGTTCTGGGAAGTGTGAAATCAAAGTTGCACAACCCAAAGAGGTATATAGGCAGCAACAGCAACAACAAAAAGGTGGAAGAGGTGCTGCAGCTGGTGGACGAGGTGGTACGAGGGGTCGTGGCCGAGGTCAGGGCCAAAACTGGAACCAAGGATTTAATAACTATTATGATCAAGGATATGGAAATTACAATAGTGCCTATGGTGGTGATCAAAACTATAGTGGCTATGGCGGATATGATTATACTGGGTATAACTATGGGAACTATGGATATGGACAGGGATATGCAGACTACAGTGGCCAACAGAGCACTTATGGCAAGGCATCTCGAGGAGGTGGCAATCACCAAAACAATTACCAGCCATACTAAAGGAGAATATTGGAGAAAACAGGAGGAGTTGTTAAAGTAACCCATCTTGCAGGACGACATTGAAGATTGGTCTTCTGTTGATCTAAGATGATTATTTTGTAAAAGACTTTCTAGTGTACAAGACACAATTGTGTCCAACTGTATATAGCTGCCAATTAGTTTTCTTTGTTTTTACTTTGTCCTTTGCTATTTGTGTTATGACTCAATGTGGGTTTGTTTATACACATTTTATTTGTATGATTTCATGTTAAACTTCAAATAAATGCTTCCTTATGTGAAAAAAAAAAGAAAAAAAAAAAAAAAGAAAACTACAGATCAATCTCTCTGATGAACATTGATACAAAATCCTCAACAAAACACTAGCAAACTGAATTCAACAATACATTAAAAAGATAATTCATCATTACCAACTGGGATTTGTTCCAGGGATGCAAGGATGGTTCAACACATGCAAATCAATCAGCGTGATACATCACATTGATACAACAGAATAAAGGACAAAAACCATATGATCATTTCAATTGATGCTTAAAAAAGCATTTGGCAAAATTTAACATCCCTTCATGACAAAACCCTAAAACAACTGGGGATAGAAGAAACATACCTCAACACAATAAAAGCCATATAAGACAGACCCACACCTAGTATACTGAATGGGAGAAAATGGAAAGCCTTTCTCTGAGATCTGGAACAAGACAAGGATGCCCACTTTCACCACTATTATTCAACACAGTACTGGAAGTTGAAGCTAGTGCAATGAGACAAGAGAAATAAAGAGCATCCAAAATAGAAAAGAAGATGTCAAATTATTCTTGTTTGCAGATGATATAATCTTATATTTGGAAAAACCTATAGACTCCACACACACACACACACACAAAAGATGAGAACAGGTAAACTAATTTAGTAAAATTGAAGGATATGAAATCAACATACAAAAATCAGTAGCATATCTATATGCCATGGCAAATAATCTGAAAAAGTAATCAAGAAAGTAATTCCATTTACAGTAACTGCAAATAAAATAAAATATCTATGAATAAATACCACAAAAGAAGTGAAAGACCTTGGCCAGGCGCAGGGGCTCACACCTTTAATCCCAGCACTTTGGGAGGCTGAGGTGGGCGGTTCACCTGAGGTCGGGAGCTCGAGACTAGCCTGACCAATATGGAGAAACCCCATTTCTACCAAAAATACAAAATTAGCTGGGCATGGTGGCACATGCCTGAAATCCCAGCTACTCATGAGGTTGAGGAAGGAGAATCGCTTGAACCTGGGAGGTGGAAGTTGTGGTGAGCCGAGATGGTGCCACTGCATTCCCGCCTGGGCAACAAGAGTGAAACTCCATCTCAAAAAAAAAAAAAAAAAAAGTGAAAGATCTCTTTCTTTAGAATGAAAATTATAAAACACTGATGCAAGAAACTGAAGAACACACACACACACACACACACACGAGAGAGAGAGAGAGAGAGAGAGAGATTGATTCCATATTCATGGACTGGAAGAATCAATACTGTTAAAATGTCCATACTATCCAAAGCAATCTACAGATTCAGTGTAATCCCTGAAATGACAATAAATACCAATAACATTCTTCATATGGAACCACAAAAGACCCAGAATAGCCAAAGCTAGCCTGAACAAAAAGAACAAAATTGGAAGAATCACATTCTGTGGCTTCAAATTATACTATGGAGCTACAGCAATCAAAGCAGGATGGGGCTGGCATAAAAACAGACACATAAACTGAGGGAGCAGAAGAGAGAACCCAGAAATAAATCCATACATCTAGAACGGACTCATTTTTTACAAAAATGCCAAGAACATACACTGAGAAAAGACAAGTCTTCAATAAATAAGACTGTCAATAAATAGTGCTGGGAAAACTGGATATTCCACATGCAGAAGAATGAAACTAGACCCCTATCTCTCACCATACGCAAAAATCAAATCAAAATGAATTAAAGACTTAAATCTAAAGCCTCAAACTATGTAACTACTAAAAGAAAAAACTGTGGAAACTCTCCACGACATTGGTCCAGGCAAGTAATTCTTGAGTAATACCCTATAATCACGGGTAACCAAAGCAAAAACAGATAAGTGGGATCACATCAAGTTAGGTTTCTATAAAACACTGCAATCAAAAAAGTAAAGAGACAACCCACAAAATGGGAGAAATAGGAAAAAAAATCTAATAATCTGATTAAATAATGGGCAAAAGATCTGAATAGCTTTTTTTTTTTTTTTTTTGAAACGGATCTCACTCTGTCACCCAGGTGCAGTGGTGCAATCTCGGCTCACTGCAACCTCCACCTCCCAGGTTCAAGTGATTCTTCTGCCTCTGCCGCCTAAGTAGCTGGAATTGCAGGTATGTGTCACCATGCCCAGCTAATTTTTTGTATTTTTAGTAGAGATGGTGTTTCACCATGTTGGCCACGCTGGTCTCAAACTCCTGACGTCAAGTGATCCGCTTATTTTGGCTTCCCAAAGTGCTGGTATTACAGGTGTGAGCCCTGAATAGACATTTTTTAAAAAGGAGACATACAAATGGCAAACAGATATATGAAAGGGTGTTCAACATCACTGATCATCAGGGAACTGCAAATCCAAACTACATCAAGATATAATCTTATTCCAGTTAAAATATCTTTTATCCAAAAGATAGGCAAAAAGAAATGCTAGAAAGGATGTACAGAAAAGGAAGTCTTCATATGCTATTGCTGGGAATGTACATTAGTACAGTCACTATGGAAACCAGTATGGAGATTTCTCAGAAAACAAAAAATACAACTACCATATGGTCCAGAAATCCCACTGCTAGATTATACACCCAAAAGAAAGGAAATCAGTATATTGAAGAGATATGTGCACTCCCATGTTTACTGCAGCACTATTCACAACAGCCATTTGGAAGAAACCTAAGTGTCCATCGACATGATGGGAGTACTATTCAGCCAGAAAAAAGAATGAGATCCTGTCATTTGCAACAACATAGATGAAAATGGAGGACACTGTGTTAAGTGAAATAAGCCAGATACGGAAAGACAAACCTCTCATGTTCCATTTGTGGAAGCTAAAAATTAAAATAATTGAACTTATGGAGACAGAGCAGAATGATGGTTACCTGAGGCTGAGAACGATAGTGGTGGTGGGTGGGTACAAAAATATAGTCACATAGAACGAGTAAGATATAGTATTTGGTTCAAGACTAGCCTGGATAACATAGGGAGACTTCTTCTCTACAAAAAAATTTAAAAATAGCCAGGAATGGTGGCTTACATCTGTAGTCCCAGTAGGCTGAGGTGGGAGGACTGCTTGAGCATGGGGAAGTCAAGGCTGCAGTGAGCTGTGATCATGTTACTACCCTCCGGCCTGAGCAACAGAGTGAGACACTCTCAGAAAAAAAAAAAAGGTTAGAAAAAGTAAAAAAGAAAAAAGATGTAGTACTTGATAGGACAACCAGGTAATTACAGTCAACAAAATTTATTGGATATTTAAAAATAATTAAAAGACTGGAATTGAAATGTTTGTAACATAATGATAAATGCCTGAGGTGACGGATACCCCATTTACCCAACATGATTATGCTCTGTATGCCTGCATCGAAATAGCTCATGTACACCATAAACATATACACCTACTAGGTATCCATTAAAATTAAAAGTAAAAGATTAACAGCAAAAAAGGTCTGCCCATTTAAAATTTGGCAAGCATTTCCAATTGTCCTCCAAAAGAGTTATAACACATACATTCATTCAACCAACAGTATATCTTTCCTAATTTCTTTCCTTTTTTTTGAGACCGAGTCTCGTTCTGTTGCCCAGGCTGGAATGCAGTGGCACGATCTTGGCTCATTGCAAACTCCATCTCCTGGGTTCAAACAATTTTCCTGTCTTAGTCTCCTGAGTAGCTGGGACTACAGGTGCCTACCAGCATGCCTGGCTAATTTTTGAATTTTTAGTAGAGACAGGGTTTCATCATCTTGGCCAGGGTGGTCTTGAACTCCTGACCTCAAGTGATCGGCCTTTCTTGGACCCCCAAAGTGCTGGGATTACAGGTATGAGCAACCACACCTGGCACTAATTTCTTAAAGATAATTACTGAATTCTGTATTTTCCAATCCAATAGGTGAAAAGTTATGTCTCACTTTAATATTTTTAAATTTCTTTAATTATTAGTGACCTTTGAGCCTGTTATTTATGAATTGACTATTTTTACCTCATTATGTAGATTTTTCACCTACTTCTTGTTTTATGACACATTTTCGTTTTTGTTGTTTCTTTATACATTTTCTTCACATTTCTCTAAGGTTTATTACTAGATTTTTTTTAAAAAAAAAAACAACAATTTTTATGTTGTTACTGTAGATTAAATATTTTCTTTGAATATACTTTCTGATTATTTTCAATTCGTAGGAAGAAAAGTTACTGGTTTTCATATGTTCATTTTATAAACGTCTTGTGTTGATATTTTAAAAGGCTAGATGAAAAAGAGTGAGGTCAACACGATTTAATCACATCACACAGATAGACTATTTCTGGATCAAAACTCAGTACGCTGATAAAAAATGAGTCTAACTGTACGTAGAGAAATTGGAATCCTCATATGCTGCTGGTAGGAAAGTAAATGGTGCAGTCACTCTGGAAAACTGTCTAGTAGTTCCTCACACAGTTAAACATTATTACCATATGAAATAAAAACATATTCACACAAAAAGTTGTAACCAAATGTCATAGCAACATTATTCAACAATAGCCAATTGCCCATCAATTGATGAATGGATAAATGTGTATATCCATACAATGGAATATTTTCCAGCCATGAAAGGAATTAGTAATGACACTGTATAGGAAATGTCTAGAATCAGTCTATCTGTAGAAACAGATCATGGATTAGTGGTTACCTAGGTCTAGGGTCTGCAGAGAAAGGGGCAGGAGGGAAACAAGTAGTGACTGCTAATAGATACGGAACTTTTTTGAGGGGGTAATGAAAATGTTCTATAATTGACAGTGATGACAGTTGCACAACTCGGTGACTATACTAAAAACCACTGAATCGTACACTTTAAACTGGTGAATAATATCTAAATAAAGTTTTATTTAAAAATAAAGGTTTTGTTTGTTTGAGACAGAATCTCACTCTGTCACCCAGGCTGGAGTGTGGTGGTACCACCTAGGCTCACTACAACCTCCAGCCCTCAGGTTCAAGCGACTCTCCCGCCTCAGCCTCCCTGATAGCTGGGATTACACGTGTGAGCCACCATGCCCAGCTAATTTTTTTGTTTTTT